CCTCAGTTTTAAGATTTAAAAAGCCTTTATAAAGATTTCACACTAGATGCAACTGAATGTAACATTCATTTAAACATTGATAGGACAACAGGTAAAGTAGATACAGAAATGTAACCAACCAACATCAACAGTCCTGTGTTGGGTACACCTCAGTGAGAGCCTTTCTGTAGGATCCGATGAATGCCAGGCATCCAACAGGTTGTACGAAAAGACATTGCTCCACAGGCCTGTGCAACAGTAGAGAACAGGGAAACTGCTTTGGAAACATTTTAATGAAAAAATATCCCTTTAAAAAATAACCTTTCAGCTTTGCAAGGAGTGTCAGAAGCCTCAAGGTTTCCAAACTCTTACCAAAACCTGTATTAAGTTCTTTTGCAGTAACTCACATTCTGTCCTCAAAATTTTTGTTAAAACTTTAAATAGTTTTAAACATTGTCCTAGTCCTTCAGCCACTGTGATGCACTGTCTCATACAGCTATTGCCAGTACACTGCAAATCAATGTTTTCTAGCCTGCATATTCCTGTCCGATAAGCAACTGTCATCAGAGACTAAAAGCACGGCATTTCACATAAAGTAAGGATTTGGTCTACAAAGTATGCTGTATGCAACCATATACTTAGTTAAAGGTTGGGAGGCTGCTCCTGAACAGCCAAGATCCAAGTCGTTAGAGCACAATTTGGGATAGTCTGCAGAGTAGTCCTCTAAAACAAGACATCTTCTATGTCCCTTGTAAGATTTCCTTTGCCACAATGGAATAATGCCCATAGCCCTTCTTCCACTTTTGCCTAACCACTTAAAAGAACATCTAAAAATGTCTCCCCAGTGCAGAAATCTCCAAAACCTTCTTGGATCTTGAAAAGTATTTCTTCCTCCACAGCTCTGCCGCAGGCCCTGAGAGGAACTCTGCCAGAGAAGGCAGTGCTGAGCTTTGCCTTGAAAATCTCTACTAGTGAAAGCTTTGCAAAAACCATACATCACAAAGTATGCAATAATTTGAATTCCGCAATACAATAATTATGCATTCCTTAAATTAGTAACCGTAATACAATTCCCTTTTAAACCTGGCTTTTTTGTGGATTGGGACAAGAAGCCAAGAGCCTTTTGCTTCACAGTAATAAGAATGGAACTGGCTTGAGAAACATTAGAAATACATGATTAAGAAATCAGATAGGGGCTCTACACTTAGCTGGTAACCAGGGTTCACTTGCAGATAATTACTGGCCAGTTTCCATCAACACAACCTCATCTCGCTGCAGCTTAAGAAGCTTCTGTGCAGGCCTGCTGTCAGAAGGCAGATCCTCTTGTTTCTCCTGTCTTCACTTGGCGCCTTCTCACTCTATAACTTCTCCTGTTCCCTGAGCCCCAAGAGTTGCACACTGCTCATGCATTTTAATATCTTCCAAACACTGATGTCCCCCCAGGACTTGGTGGTAATTACATAGCAATGTTTCCCTAATCTCTTGCACTGAATTTTCATGGTACCTATATTTGCTGAAGTAAGAAGTATGAGGAGAGAGGCTGACAGAGTTGAAAATAGCAAACAAGCTTTCATGCACCCCAGTCTTTCTTCAGGAAACCTGAGTGTCTTGTATACCCATAAGCTCATCCAATCTTTCCAGCTCTAGCTATTGCTTTTATAAAAAGCATTACCTCTCCCTGCAAGTGATAACTTGCTTTTATCCTTAAACTATCACGCTGTAACTAATAGTACAGTTTAATTGCAACCCAAGAGGGCATTACATGTTGTATCACTAGATGGCAACATTGCTTTAACTCTCCACTCCATCCTTTCTAAAGATACACCTATGGCTGTGGGGCCAACAGCCTAATTCAGGTACTGGGGGTGAGAACACAGTGAGCTCAGCCCAGACTGGATGTGTTGGGTGTGCTTGCTATCCGGCCACCTCGGGTACAACCACACCACACCACTGTCATTGCAAAACTGCAATGGAGGCACAGTGTTCTCAGAAGAAGGCTCCATAGTCCCATCTAGCTCTGTGATCTACCTCCTACCTCTGGCTGTCAGCATAGAGCGCTTAATGGAAGAATACAAGAAAATGGAAAGTATGAAGGGGTCTCTTCTCCAGTGTACTGGATTTAGTACTTCCAGTGCTGGTGGCTGCATCTGAACTACTGTGTTTCAGAGCCACCAGTGGGACTACCTTCCATGAATTTGTTCTCCCTTTTTTAGACCTATTTATACTCTTGGATCCTGTGATATCTTCCGAGTCTTCTCCCTCAGCCACCTCTTTTCTTAACTCATGACGTCACTAAAAGCTCTAAGCATAGCCATTAAAGCTCTGAGATTTTGTGTCTGTGTGGCTAAACACAATCTTCTGCTCCTCATGCCCAGCTGTTTTCTCATGATTGTACCAATATG